AGTTTGTTGTGGCACCAGAGCTCTCTGACAGAGAAGGCTAAATGTCTTTAAAAAAACAACAAACCCAAAAATCAACCTACAGTTCCTAGAATTCCGTAGCATTGAGCCATGGTGGTTAAAGTGGTGTCAGCCTGGATGATTTCTGCAGTGTGGATGTTAAAGTGGTCTCAAACTGGATTATTTCTAGAGCAGATGCAGTCCTTGTCTACACACCATCAGGATGAGGGACCCCTTTACACTCAAGGGCGGTTCAATCATCCAGGTGAGTCAAATGTCCAAGTCACACCAGGATGCAGGTGAAGAAATGGCTGTGTTTGAATGCACAGGTTTAACTCCTTGCATGCAGAAAAGTAGCATCTCAAGGATTTCAGCCCAACTTTCTCCCTAGAATATTAACCAACACCTCCATCTTATCCCTTAGGTTGAGATGGGCTTCAGACTGTAATGTTCAAACCTTGATTTCCTTTCCATCTGTAGCTGGAGGTGGAGCATCCTAGGAAATTTGGTCCCACCTGGTTTGGCTGGAGGTATAAATTGGCTCTCAGGTAGGCTATTTTGTCTTGCCATCATCCTGCAGAATGAAAGAAGAGAGTGAATTGGAGGTGCTCTGTTAGTAGAGGTATGCTGAAAGAGATGTGGGTTGTTTTCCTACAATAAACAGGGGTGCAGTATGAAATTTGCCTTCACTTTCCAGCATTGTAATAATTTGCCTTCACTTTCTAATTCTCCAATAATTTTCCTTCATTTTTCAGCATTGCAATAATTTGCCTTCACTTTCTAGCCCTGCAATAATTTAAAACCTCAACTGTTTTAGGCATCCAAAGAAAAGAGACGAGAAATAGGCATCCAAAGAAAAGGGACATACAAAGTTTCCAAGGGGGTGCAAACACAGCAAAGGGAAGAATTCTTTGTTGTTGTGCGCCTTCAAGTCGTTTCCGACTTATGGCAACCCCAAAGCGAACCTATTAATGGGGTTTGCTGGTCAAGTTTCTTCAGAGGGGGTTTGCCATTGCCATCCTCTGAGGCTGAGAGAGTGTGACTTGGCCAAGGACACCCAGTGGGTTTCCATGGCCAAGCTGGGATTCGAACCCTGGTCTCTGGAGTTGTGAGACAATGCTCAAACCACTATGCCATGCTGGCTCCAGGTGTGAATTATTTTCAGTTTCACTCTTTGGAATTTGGGGACCAAAGGGGAGTTTTAATGGGGAGGCAGAATCTTATAGGGAGGAATGTTTTAATTTTGTCTCCATAGCTATCCCTGAATTGTGATATGTTTGCTAGAATTTATATATATATAAATATATCCTTGAAACAAATAAATAAATTCCTAAGGGGAGATTAAAAACTTAGCATGTAAGTTATACCATTTGTTGGATGAAGGATGGTAACCTACTACTAGACTGGCATTTTGAACAAGCCAACAAAATGCGGTACACTAAGAGAAGGAGTTGGGTGGTCCTCCAGATGTTGCTGAACTACAACTCCCAGTTTTTCCTCGCCATTGACGATGCTGGCTGGAAATTCGGGGCTATCCTGAGTTTGCAAGACCTGAGTAGGACTGTTAATGATAGGATGACTTGTATATAATAATAATAATAATAATAATAATAATAA